GGCATGGGAAGGAAGTGCAAAAAACAGCCCACAGGTCTAATTTTATGGCTGGTGAACCTCAGCAGCGCCCTTGTGTACTGCAGAGTGCTCTGCTGTTTCCAGGGTGTTTACAGGGTCTCTTTGAATATATTATGATCAAACTTGCCCTCCTGTTTTTTTTAGAGTTAAGCAAACGTGGCCAGCAGTACCATTTGAACTCCTTTAATTGTGTTCCATACACTGCATAGGTCCTTCCTACAACCTCCACACTCCAGGCCAAGCACCATACAGCGGTCACAACTCAGACACTGTTTAATTTTCTTCTCTCACCATCTTATTTCATTTAAGTTGAACTTTTTATGCTGCTAAAATTTCCTTGTTAGGAAATGACAGACTCCCTGCGATCAGGAAATTTACCTGATAACACTGTATATAACAGTGCCTGGGTAAGATTTTCCTCATTAAAAATGAAAGGAGACCCCTCCAGCCACTCCACTAGCAGGGAGGGTTCAGAGCATACAGACAATGCACCTCAATTTTGCCAGAAAAACCTTTGCTTATTGGGGTAGCCGGTGGAACTGGGGCAGAGATAGACCTAAAGAAGCTCTGATTTTAAGAAGCTCAGAATAATTGTCGACTCCATTTTCAGTGGGCCGATTCCATGTAAAGCACTGAACATATGCCATTGCTGGTATTCCCCATAGTTTTGCAGGGTGCATATTACAGTTGAGGACACTTGGATTCCAAGGTCACCAGGAGGTGAGTCACAGAGCTAGAATTTAAACCTGGCTCTCATGGCTTTGTTCTTTCCATTGTGTTGACATGCTGCAGACACATAGATTTGTGTGAATACATTTCATTAACAATATCTATTTGGACTGAAGAATTCCTAGCGGTTTCAGACCTCAGCGATTATAGTGTTATTCTTGAACCAACCCTGAGCTAGACTGCTGGGATTCAAACCTTCACATTTATTTGATACGTAGCTACTTGTTGGCTGCGTGATATGTGGCTGTTACTTCTTTGGGGTTAGGTTTCTTGAGCTGTAAATAAGGATAATAATAATATTTTCCTCATAGGGTGGTTTTGAGAATTAAATGAGAAAATGCTTGCAAGATGCTCTTGGGTACTCCATACAAGGTAGCTATTGTTATTACTAAAATTACTTATATATGTTTCTGTTTTCCATGCCCTGTACATATAGGAACAAAAAATTATTTACAGGGGAACATTTTTGGAGCAAATTCACTTGTGATTTGCTTAAAAAGTCAAATAATAGTACCAAATAAATAAAGAAAGCTAATGTACAAAATTCGACAGTGGTGCAGGGCATCGCAGCAAAACATGTGCCTATAGTGAAGGCTGAGGCTGTCACAGCCCATTACTTCATAGCCTAACTTCGTGCTGACTCAGCCCAAGGCAGGCAGTAATCACAGCCAAGTTTATATGGTCAAGAATTGATGTGGTCATATTTCCACATTCTCAAGAGCAAAGTCAAGAAAAAAGTATGATCAGAAAGTTTTTATGAGTTTAATCATGAAATGCTGAAAGTGCTGGCTTATTGATTTGCCTTTAGTTAACCTCTATAATTTGGAGCGATCTGCCCAGCCAAAAATGGAGGGAGGCAGGAGAATCCCTTTTGTCTTTTGGTCATTTGGAACAAAGAACTTG